CATAAGCAAATACACGAAGAATCAAGCCATTCTGCATATGGAGGTGAGGTTGAGAGATAGTGAATTCTTTTTTTTGTTGTTATGGCTTTGGTTATCATTCATTTATTATTCCTTCCAACATTTAGTTTATCTGTGAATTTTTGGTTACATGAAAATGCTAACTCACCATCTAGCTGATAACTTTTATTGTGAGAAAATATGTATATATTATGAAACTGACACAAGCTTCCTTAGTGGTGGCATACAGATACTATTAATATAGCAAAATATTATATAAATATGATCAAATGAGATGTACTCTCATGACTTAAACAGTAAATAAATACCCTGCCATAAGCTTCATAAACTGAGACAAGAGACAGTTAGTGAATTATTGCTGTTTGTCACTTGATATTGTTATTATTATAGAAAGGTGATTTTGGATTTTATTTTTTATTTATTTTTGGAATTAGGTTTTTCCTTCTTCTGGTTATTTTTCTTGATGTCATTATTTGAAATACGTAATATTGATATTTATGTTTTTTTGTTCATTAACATTAGTATCAAGTCCTGGATAGGCACGTGTTTATTAACTGTGTTTTTGTTAAGTGCTGAATTTTATTTCATGTGTTGTTCCAGTTTACTAAATTGATTTTTTGATGTAACCCTGGTTGTACTGACATGTTATTTTAGTCTGTTACAAGGTATCTCTTAGAATTTATAGTATCCAATCTATTTTCTGGGAGTAGGTGAAATATTAAATAAAATATGAAGTTCTACAAAAAAAACTATTTTTGATATTGGTTTATGAGGTTTTAGAGATTATCCAAATAAAATATGAAAACTGTAAGATGCAAAGATGTATTTTTATTTTTAGGATGAAAATCCCCTTTCACCCAAATTAACTCAAAAACGATATTGTAACTTCACAGGCAAACCTTTTGTAAAAATACTTTATGAAAAGACTTGATTTTTGTGTACAAAAGCCTTGTAATGTTTACTAAAAAGGTGGCCAAATTTTGTAAAGAATAAGTACTGCCAGAGTTATAGTATATATAGTTTCGTGGTTACATAGTAGTTACAAGGTCATGCAAAATACAAGAGCCCTAATGTCCAGAGGGTTAATCTTGTCATAGAGTTTCAATTCTGCAAGAATTCTAAGACTTAACTGATATTGTTACTAAGCTATCCAAAAATGCATCAGCTGGAATTGTTTAATTTTAAATTTTTTTCTCTCATCTAATTTTTTAACTTTGTAGTATTAAATATGATTATAATTTCTTTAAAACTGAGATTACACTGATACATTCTTCCTTAAAAAGTATAATATAAACCAGCCTCTCAGCAATAGCACCAATACCAAAATTGCTTCTAAAAGCTTTTTTTTCAATCCCCCTTTATGATAAAGAAATTACCATAACAACAAGCACTTTACTAGAAACTATTAAATTACCTCCTTCTCACAATGAACAGCTGAAACAAACGCCTACAAAAAAAAGGATTAGAGGGTGTAATATTTTTGTCTCAAATTTGTTTGTTGAACATACATGTTTTCTAACATCATGTTTGAAACTGAGAGTATTACATGGGCACATGTGATTAAGCTTTGAACATCCACATGTAACTGTTTTATGCCTAATGGAGTTTTAAATCCATCACTACCACCTATCATTGTCTAATATATGAAGGCCAGAAAAGAATTTAAACTAAATATCACTAAATTTCTTGTCTAAGCTCCTTGTTGCATATACTATCAACAAAAACTGGCACTGAACAAAATATCATTGCTACCTGAATCTCCCACTAAACTCATACATACATTTGCAAAAAAATACTAAAACAGCATTTTTGTGAAATTCTTTTTGGAAAAATGCAGAAGTTATCATAACAGAAATTATTTCAGAAAATATAGTATTAAAAAAGCTACAAGTTTTCAAATATCATGAAATTGTGTGACATTTTTTGCTTCTTCAACATCCTTGTTAATATTTTTAAATATTTTAGCTTTTGTAGTTACAGTTATTTTGTATGCTTTTAGTTAAAAGATAAATAAAGTTTGGAAATAATGAAATTATGTATCTATTCTTATATGTATTTTAACATAGTATAGTAAATCAATTTTACATTAAAGAATAAGCCCACTCAATACAATTTTATCTTATGGGGTGATCTTTTGTGCTAAAAGTATAGATTTTACCAATAACCGAAGGAGATTTTTACCACACTATAATTTACTCTCATTTTTTATGCTTATATATATATAAAAATCTACTTTCAAGTTACAAGAGTTATAAATTTTCTTGTGCAGTTCTCACTCAAAGACACAGCATGAAATTACTGCATTAATTTTCAACATTTTGTTTATGTTTAACATAATTGTTGGATATACAAGACTGTTTAGTGTAGGTAGTGTTAATTAATTTATTTTGTGAGTTAATATTTCATGATTGTTTAGTTTTTCATAACAAGAGAGTAAAAGTAATTATTTAAAAGGCGATACATGTACTTATGACAAGTTTGGTTACATAACTCGTTAAGCGTTGTACATTTTGATGTCGAGGCTATTGTACATTGTGATTGCAATTCATTGATGTCAAGGCTATAGAATTTTGTAGAGGCCTCAGTGATAAACATATAAATAGCGGCAACAAAACGAGTTGGAGGAGAGAAAAAGTAAAGTCAAGTGAAAGGGAAGTTCAGTCAAGAAAAGAGTGAAAATGCAAAGTTAGCCGTCATTGGAGTGAATAGCCTTAACAGTTGATATGTTAGGTGAGATTAACAGTTTGATAGAAATAAGGAGAATAATTTGTCTTGTCAAAGGGTGTTCTAAACTAACTAAACCCGCCTGTGTGAACTTTGACAGAAAGAAGACAATTATTGGAAGTTCAGTATACAACTGTGGTAACCCACAAGTTAATGTAAGTGAATTATTCACCAACACTACTGTGGTAAAAGTAGAGAAAAATAGTTCAGCTTGTCAACTGGATTCTAAAGCAACTGAGTTAGCCTAAGTGGACTTTTGACAAGAAGAAGAGAAATGTATAGTGTTTAAGATACAACTGTGATCTCCATAGTGTAAAGAAGTTTTGTACCTACATTTATCTTGTATTGAATATATTATCTTAAAACAGGTGGAGTGCATGCTGTCCATTTAGTGTTCGAATTTATCACCAACAAGTCACAGACACCTACTGTAGAAGAATCCCTAACACCCACATATACACATATACTTAAAAGTTCTGACAATAATATATAACAACAAAGGACCTTTTCTTCCCTCTAGGCATCCTATCCACTAAATTAAACTAAACCTTTTAAAACAAACAAACATAGAAAACCTCAGAGACAGCCCTTATAATTCAAATATTTATCAAGCTTTCCCGTAAACTCCTGTAAATTAAGTGCATCCACCACATCAAAAGCGATTTCAACTAAAGATGACTTCTTCCCTGTCAAATTTTATAGCTCTGTCCCCTAATCTTACAATTCTAACCATTAAATATGAAAAATTATGATGCATCAAAACTATCAATTCCCTTCAAAATCTTAAGCACCTCCATCAGATCCCCTCTAACTCTTCTTCTTGCAAAAGAAAACAAGTTCAGAGATTTTAACTTATCCTCATATGATAGCATTTCCATCCAATGTATCATCCGAGCCTAAGACTGAATACGATACTCCAAATGTGTCCTAACCAATGACCTATACAATGACATTATAACCTCTTTAGACTTGTATCCAATATGTCTGTAGATACAACTTAAAATCAGATTTTCCTGCCACTGTAGTAACAGCAATTACTTGGATGGTTTAAGAGACTGACCAACCAGAACACCAAGATCTTTTTTTTCCATAACACTGTTAAGGTTATTCCCATTGAAATCATACTCAATATTCACATTGTCATATTCCACATGCATTACTTTGCATTTATTATAAATAAAAGCCATTTGTCATTTATTTGCTTAACTCACTAAATACTCCAAACCTTTTTGTAAGATGGTAGCATCCTCCTCACAGCTAGCAAACCCCAAACCTTAATGTCTTCAGCAAATTCAAATAATATATAGACCATTCCTTCATCTATATCATTGATGTAAATCAAAAAAAGAGAAAAGGTCCTAACACTGAGCCCTGAGATGCCCCACTCATGACATTAATCCAATTTGATTGAACTCCATTTATAACAACCCTTTGCTTCCTTCCATCTAGCCATGTTTCTATCCAATGAACTAACCTATCCCCTACACTTACAAAGATAACCTTTTTAACAAGACTTTTATGTAGCACCTTGTCAAGTGCTTTCTGAAAATCCAGAAACATCAGATACACACCTGTACCCTCATCTACATAAGCAGTAACCTCTTCAAAGAATGTCAAAAAATGACCTATCTGCTAAAATTTATATTTGTGTCCCATAGTATTACCATTTTCACCATTAATTAAAAACCATCTGTCATTTATTTGCCCAACTCACCAAATAATCCAAATCCTTTTGTAAGACTGAAGCATCTTCCTCACCTAGCAACACACAAAACTTTAATGTCATCAGCAAATTTAAATAAACTATAGACCATTTTTTATCTACATGCCACTGATGTAAATAAAATAGAGCAAAGTTCCTTATAGTAAGCCCAATATAAATGCATAAAAGCATTTTAAGTTTTGTTCATACAAACCTATAAAACAAAATTGTTCTACAAAGAAAAGCCAAAAAATATTTTGTTGAGCCAGCAGAAACATGGTCATTTTTTCTATTTCTACCTTTATCATGTTCTCATAGTATATGGTGAGTATAAATTTCAGTTTCTGACTTCATGCGTTCATACACACAATGTCAGACCTGATTTTGAATTTTCCATACAATGTTTGCCACAAAAATTATGATGATGCAGTTCATGGTTTACCAGTAACTAAATCTATTTTTGAAATGGCAACTTTATATAATAGCAATAACTTTTTTTTTTTATAGAGAATATGGAGTCCAAAAATTTTATTTTATTAGCTTAACCTAAGCTCACCACCAAGTATACGGCACGTTGGATCTTCCACTAATGGGCTCTGGCAGTATAAGCACAAAAAGTCCTTTCTGTGAAAAGACAAAAAGCATGCAACCACAATATGAAAGGTGGGTAATTTTAATAGGATTTTTACATAAAGCTTAACTCAAGTTAATACCAGTTTTACAGAAGATATTTCATGCAAATATAAAGTTTAAAGATATCCTCAGACCTAGATTCAGTGAAGATGGATGTGAATTTGAATAGCATTTACAACTAAAGGTATTGCTTTAATGATGTTCCTTCATTAGAAAGTTCTTTTAGATTATTTAGGGAAAATACTTCAATATCCATTCTATGTAACAATAACAAATTAGTTTTGTTTTCTATTTAACGTTTCTTTGCAGGTTTGTACATTTTGTAGCTTGTTATAAGCCTATTTTTACAGTCAAATTATCTGCACTACATTAACATAAAAATCAACTTACTTGTACAAGCTAACTCATTATGCATGGTAGTTAACAGAGATCAGAAATATAAACATACTGTTACGACAGTGGAAGTCATGTGATGTTGGTAACACGTAATGATTATCTAGAAGATTTGCAAAAAACGCTAGTGCGTGCTATGCACGCGTTTGTGTTACGACAGCGGAAGTCAAGTGACGCTGGTAGCACGTGATGAGTGTCTAGAAGATTCTCGAAGAGGCTACGCAGGCGCTATTATCGTATATAAGTGCGCTAGACAAAGGAGACAGGCGTGGAGAGAGAGGTAGAGTTGGGAACCAAGGACAGCATTTGTGGTCGGTGGGAACCAAGGATAGCAAATAGAGAGATCGGAACTATAGTTGCTGACAGGCGGAGATAGAGACGGACAATTGAGTCAAGCGCAGAAATAAAGTGAGTGAATTGTTGTGAATAATAGCGTTTGTTATTAAAGTAACTGTGGAAATTAAGTGTATTGCAAAGTTGTATTGAGGAAGAATAAACTAGTTTTATTTAAGAAAGGACTTGTATCACACAAAAATTAACAAACAAACATACAGAGACGTAACAATACTGACTGCTTCACTCTACTAACTAGAAACTAACTCTATATATTCTTGATGCTTTACTGTTTTCCTGAAAGCTTACTTAACCAGTTCAGTGTTTCACTCATATTTATAATCTAATCCTTGTTCAAAGCCTCTCATTCATTAATATTCCCAAGCATTCTACAACTAATTTGCTCTAACATGATGCACCCTCTTGTTAACATCTAAATTACAACATTAAAAATACGGTGTATAACACTGCCCACTTTCTGGATTGTGAAGTTCCTTGAATAATCCTCGTTTGAAAATAAAATACTGCATTATATTATCCATTCACCAAGTCTTTTTGTTGGTTTTCTCTTCTGAGGCCCATGATATACAGCTGGGATGGTGTCTTGTCCCTTGTTGTCACTACTGGCTGAAAAGCCATAATTGTGTTAGGATAACCTGAATAAATACATGGCCATCTGAGAACTCGCACACAAGCTGTCAGACAAAAGCCCATATGTGTAGTGAGTTTGAGGCTCACTCACTGTACCTTGTGTGCTTACCTCTTCTATCATCAGACTTGACAGGTCAAAACAAGCTGTGGGAGAACACTTGTGATAAGTATCCTGGCACTGTATGGAATCATGTCTGTATGGATATTTATATAAACTTCTACTCAACCATCAGTCATAATGGACCCCTTGCCTGCTGTGAGGTAGGGTATTTGAGTAATACATCATTGGTGTATACAGAGTGTTCACCTCATTTCTACCAACAGTCTCTACAGGTTCCATGCTAGGTACAGGAGGAGGGTACCATATTATACACATTACCACTTGACCATCATTTTCTATAAGCCACATGCCAGCTGCAGGAGTGAGGTTTTTTTTTTTTCAGCATTATGTATCATAATTATATATGTGGGATGACCTGCATTGCACTCTGGTGTCACCCCAACCACACTTCTCACTGTAGAGGGACCCCTTGTTCTAGCCCCAACATTTAGGTCCCAATTGGTGAGGCTTCTCCATGATACACCACTCTAGCAGATGGGAACTGGTAAGTGGCAAGGGTCTTCTGTGCTCCACTTGATGAGGGGGAAGAATTCATGTAAAGGAGACTTGGAGACTGCACTTGGATCCCTATCAGTCCTTCAGTCCAGAATGGTCTTTTACTAGAGACAGTGCAATGGGTGACTGTGAAACCCTATTTTGAAAAGTCAACAAGTGCTAACCGAAGTGAGCAGATACACAACTCCATTTCTGGCTTTTTCCATGATAGTCTATAGAACAGGTATGATCTAGATCAAACATGATATGTAATATAGATTTATTTTGAAATACCACCAGCAAACCTCAAGTTGTCTTGCAGAACACCTCATCTCACAGTGGGTATGTGTAGGGCCAGCAAAGATGGTATGAATGTTTTCCATTATCCTAGTCTGATGCACATTTTGTATAAGTATACCCTGGGAGGCAACACTAACTGCCTAATGGGATCCTATACTAAGTTAGTTGTGAATAAAAAATACAAGTACCATCACTTGTTTAAAGTCGAAAGGTGGATTGAAGGATGACTATGGGTGGAAGTATAAATCCCTCCAGAGAGAAGACAGCAAGACAGTGGTCTATGAAAATAGTTCACATACTAGCCTGGAGAATCTTCCATAGAGGACTGCAAGAGAATGTGTAAGGTATCGAATCTAGTGAAAGGATAGAAGAGCTGATGATCATCCACCCCCAAAGAGAAATAACCCAGACAGATGAGCAAGCAGATCCATCCAGTAAGGGTGTAGGGAGGAGGGGCTTTAGTAGAGGAGGGATCCCAAGGAATAAAAAGATGGTGATAGGAACACCATGAGAAAGAAGTGCAAGATAAATAACAACGAATGGTCCATATAAAACATAGGAGTCTGTTCAGGTCAAAACGATCATAAATATGAGATATAAAAGGAAGGTATATGAGAGAAAGGTATGTCCACCTTTCCTAGTGATGGAAGTCTTGGGATGGAAGGACCAGTTAGGTAAAGAAAAAAGTAAGTTGGTACTAGTTAGTTTGGGAGGAATCTGTGGCACTGACATCAGAACAATGACACCCACAGGGAAGAAAGAGTAGGAAATAGGTTTGAAGGAGAGATGATATAGAGAGCAAGTGACAAGAGGTTCAAAAGGGTCCCAGGTGAGAGCGTGAAGAACCACTTTCGGATCCGAAACAGGTAAGGGAGTAGGATGGGAAGGTCTGTGGATTAGGAAGGAACAGAACAGGATGGTAAGGACAGAGGAAAAAAATTCTACAGGCTCGAGAAAAGCAGAATGTAATAAACAGTACCACCCAATAACCCACAATAATAAAGACAGACAAAACACAGTCAAAGAGCCACAAGAAAGAGGTAAGGTGTTGTAAGGTAGGTTAGCCAAGAGGATAGACCAACAGTGACAAGCCCACACGAAATAGGTGGAAGGGTGACAAGAGTAAGACAGAAAAAAATTACACACTCAGATGGTCTGGCTCAATGAGTGATGGATCTGATAAATCCCACATGTGAGGATGATGGGATGCCACTCCTTGATAAAAGAGTGATGTGTGGTTGGACCAGAAGGGGTGGAATGTTGGGAATAAGTAGGAGGATTGGTCAAGAGAAGACTGAGTAACAAAAATCAAGGTTGGATGGGCCAGTAAGGAGCTACCAAATGGGTTCTGCAAGGGGGTGTCCCAAATCAGATCATGGACCCAAGGAAAGAGGCATAAAGGAAGAGATGAGGCCAGTCCTGATTGAGAGCAATGAGAGCCATGGTTAATGGATGAGGTATGGGAGACAAAAGAGAGAAAGTTTGGTATTGATGGGTGTGGGACAGGCATCTATGAAGGGAGTTCCAAGTTAGGAGCAGATCTAATGGAAGATTGAAAGATGTAGGGACCATACCATGGATAAGACACAGTATCGACAAAAGAAAGACGATACATGACATGTGCACCTGGAACATGACAGGCTTTAACACACACACACCCTCAAATGGAATGGGCCCAAGCAAGGAGGTCCAAAGTCTGAAAGCAGAAACCTGGAATGAATGACCCCTTAGTGGTTGATATGAGACAAATGATCCACAAGGAGGAGAAGGAAATAAGAGCATGCTCAATGGACAGCAAATAGTTTTAGGGATTCATATGTAGCAAACAATTCTCCAGGGTCCAAGAGTCCAAAGGCAGATAGTCATTAAGAGATGATTCCCATCCAGAGAGTGAGAAGTGTCTGTGAAGAGGTTAAGTTCAGGTTTGGGAGGAGGTAATGGAACAACAGAGATGGTGTTGGGGCAGTCCAGCCACTATACAAGATCCTACAATGAAGAAGGAGAGAGGAGAATTGGTGAGGACAGTAGTACCCTGGAAAGGTTCCATTGGTCATGCAATGCCCACTGTATGGGAAGCATATGTGCATGGTAAAATGAAATGAGAGCTTCTAAAGAAGCCAAAGTCCCCAAAAGAGACAGAACCTCTAGCATCAAACATGACCAAATGCCTGAGGTCCCGTAAGCAAACCAGAGAAGGTTAGGCATAGTTGAGGTAAGAGTTGAAGAGAATCCCCCAGGTGGATGAGATATTAGGCTTAGTTAAGGATGGACTAAACAAGCACCTTCATGATGAAGAAGGAAAGTGTGTTCGTAGAATTCTGCTTAGGAATGGGCAAGGAGAAGCCAGTCATATATGTAGAAATCGAATCATAGACCATGAAGATGTCAAGTGAAGGCCCACAACTGAAAGCATAAGGGGCTGATGCCATTCTAAATGGAAGAGCATGGAACTGGGAACTGTTATCCATGTAAACAGAGAAAAAAGCCTGAGGACAAGGCAATCAGGATGTGGAGAAAGGTATCTGAACACATCAACCCGGGTCATCCACAGGCCAGGCTGGAAAGACCAATAGAGAGAGAAAAAATCTCCACCCAAAATTGTGGGATGACTATGAAACGATTGGTGGGAGGAAAGGTCGATAACCAAACGCTGGCCCTCAGTTTTTTGAGAGACAACAAAGAGGTGGGAGTAATAACCTGGATAGGGGTTGTCAATTCC